GAATTTAAAAGAAAGCTTGATGACTATATGAATGTTAAGGATTGGCTTTGAGATTTTATTTTTTATTTAATAGTTTTAGTTTTGTTTAGAGCATGAGACAGCGGAGATGGACCAATAACATATCATTATGTTATAATTTTAGACTTAGAGTTATAATCTTTCAAATACACGTTTTTATCTGGATTTTGCGTTTTATACGGGATCGCTTGAAATTTAACGAGATTAACTTTGCTGATGATAACAATAGCTGCAGTGGGTGGCTTGATTGTGTGTTTAGAATTTTCGCGCAATGTTATACAATAACTATCTAATAGACTTGGGAAAAAAACACAGTCTTCCTGTTTGACCCAATAATGGGATTTGCTCGTCATTCTTATAGCGTACCCCAACCCCAAAGTACGGAGCGAGCGCCTTTTTGCAGCAACGGGACGCAAACCCTATAACCTCAGATTCGCAATCCAGGCATGATAACTACTAGGCCACGCCCAGCCAAATGTGGCTTGAGAAAGATGTCTATCCACAGTCAATACCTAAACGAAAAGTGAAAGATGGCAAAAGCATTATTTAAGTATCTACTTGTAGAGCTCAGGCTGGATCACAATAATATCTGCTCATACTTCTTCTATTCATACAGGGATTTTACAGGCGTAATAATCTGCTTGATTTTTGTGATCACAAGAGAAACACACAATGACTTGGTCTGCATCTGGTGATCTCTGGTAACCGAAACTAGTAACTATTATTTTCAAAGCGCTAGACAAATAATTTTTATTTGGTTTACAAAAGTTAATGTTACATGTTACCATCCCTTCAAGATCGTATGGTGTGATAATTTTCCTTGCTTGAAACCAACGTTAAAGGTTATTCGAGCCTATACGATAGATTATTCATTACACATAAAACATTTTCCAGTACGTTTCGGAACACAGAACAAATACTACATTTAAAACACGAAAATGGTTTATTCTCAAATTTCATATCTTTTAACACTTCGAATTTTTAAGATAAGTTCCATTAACTTAACGAATCAACTTTAAGAGCATCAATCTTCCAAAGTGACTATATCTCTTTCATTTCTGTTAAATAACACTGACGTGCAAGAACAAAACGTTTAAATCTAGCAAACTGATGTTTAATTAATTCCCCTTATATGTAATTTTGGCGCCACCTTGTGGCAAAATTAAACTTAGTAGGTAAGATTGTCTGCATATGCGTGTTTGAGAGAACTTTCATTAGTTTCATAACTAGAGTGCTTTATTTATTTATTATGCAAAGGGTGTAACGTAACCATGGAGTGTTTATTAAAGTATGAAGTTAAAATGTAGTTACAAGTACAGAGATCTAATTACTTAGCTATCTTCAAGATGTTAACTGTGCGATGTACTGAACTGACGTACTATTGTCACATACGTTTATTTATTCATTTTTAAACTCTTGAGCTTATTGGAAATAATGTGATTAGAGAACATTTCCACCATATACAACCACTGGAAAATGTTTTAAACTATGTAGAATAAAGTGAACATATACAAGATTAAAAAACAAAACAAGAAGATCACACTAAGTTGCCTACGATGTAAAACATGATCCGGTTAAAACGATCACGTGAAGGAAATTGACAGAGATGTAATACGTTGGGTAACTAAAGCGCCCCGGAAGGCAGGTCATAGATAATAACTTAAGGCTTTAATTTCTTGTGACAGCGAAATTCTAGCCCAGCTGTCCAAAGAAAGAACTATGAACACAAGAACAACAACAACAAAAAAAAGTTGTAAATATAAAATTCACTCCCGTACAATTTTTTCCTAGTCTTTAGAAACTTGTTGGCCAAATAATATTCATTACCTTCAATAAACATTCTTTAATTTTATCAGTCTAAGCCTTATTAAAAGAAGAGAGAAAAACTTAACTTGGAATTAAATTTGTATTAACTATTAATACCGGATGTCATTCGCCGTTTTGTTAACTCCAAACGCCTTGGAACTAGATTTGCATTAACTATTAATACCGGATGTCATTCGTCGTTTCGTTAACTCCAAACGCCTTGGAACTAAATCTGTATTAACTATTAATACCGGATGTCATTCGTCGTTTTGTTAACTCCAAACGCCTTGGAACTAAATCTGTATTAACTATTAATACCGGATGTCATTCGTCGTTTCGTTAACTCCAAGCGCCTTGGTAATACTAATGTTATTTTTAATGTTTTATGTCACGGTTTTAAACGCCAAAAACCGTTGAAGCAACGAAACCATTAGGCCTAATAATAGTGATAAAATCATACTCTACATTCCTTTTACTTCATTCTTTACGGACTTCACATTAATGGCATGTAAAAATAGCATTTTAAATCTAAGTTTTGTCTGTCAAATATCAAAGCTCAGGAACTATCAGATGGGTTAGAAATGTTGGCAGACAGTTGGTTCAAAATGTGCTTGGATAAAAAAAGTACAGAATGTTATTAATGTACAAAAACCATCTGCAGACTAGTGAGATTTTTTTTTAATCACTTAGGCATATTGACTTATTTTGTTTTTCATGACCAATCTTTGGAAGACTGATAAAGTTAATTAATTACAATCGTCTTCCATCCGACCATAACTGAAATATATTTCATCTGTAACGCTTCTCCGAAACACAAACAAGTAAAGTTGGACTTAGCTACAAAGTTGTAAACCTTAATTAGTGAAATGTTTCAGGAATTGCCATTCTTTTTCAAATACAATTTTAACAAATGCAAAGACTTGACCATTCGAAACAACTGCAAATTGATCGTTTTAAAGTTAATTACTGGTTTTCTTTCTTTCTCTCTCTCTTGAATGAATGAAATAATTTTAAGATAAGCAACAAAGTTTGTATTTATAAAAAATCCAAAATACAAGTATATTAGTTTTATTAATATGAAAATAAATCAACTTGAGAAACTACATGACATAGATTTCCAAATTAAAAAAGAAAGAAAAAAGGAAAACATGTCTCTGTAGGACCACATATTGATTACTATTGGAAACCGTCTGTCAAACTAACATTATTATAGTGGTTTTTGATCGTGTAATAGGTCTGAGGTGCTTAATACTCAAAAGAAGTTAAAATTATTTGGAACTTAAAGTGGAACATATTTTAATGAGACTTGTGGACATTTTACGTTAAAATGGTAGGGTGATATCCAATGGAGTAGATAACTTCATACTTTGAAAAACAATGAAACAACGTAAGTCGTATACTCACTATCCATCTATAACTGACGTATGTTCAGATTGTGTGAAAACACCTACACTTAGGGATGAAATGGAAAATTATACTGCAGCAGTCAATACATTGGCAGGGGAAGAATTCATATGCCCACCACCCCTCGTGATTTTTAATGCTGTATTATAATTTAACATCACAATAATCGTTGTAAAAAATATACCCTAATACAGTATTTAATATTTATCATTTAATACAATATTAAATTATGGCAGTACTCGGCACAGCCTTCAAAATAATTAGCCGTTCGCCGATATTCACTTGAGTTTTTTTGATACACTTCTGAAAGCTTAAGAAAAGAACAAAAAGTTCGGACTTACCAGAGGAGACGATCCTTTTGGATTCAGACGCCATAGGGACGACTGGTGACAAAACAGTTATCCAAACAACAAGCCAAAGCAGGCTAGAAGCATCTTGATACCAAGTTCTATGTACAGTTAATTCTTTAAAAACCATATTAAACGTCACACTTTCCTGGAGCAACGACTGTCTGACCATTTTCTAAGGCTTGTCACTTTGATGATGCCAGCTTACTAAACCAAAAAGTATAACATGATTCACAAAACTATCTTACTGTCGATAACGTATCACAAGATTTCACAACTGTACATCATGACTTCAATTTCATAGTATATTTTTCGCTCAGGGGTTTTCTTGTTACTAAGAAATTATTACTTAAATCCGGGGTCGTATCCTCGTTAAAGGGTATTCTTGATACCGCGGTACTGTACACCATTAATTCAATACGAAGTGGTATTTCCCCACAAAACAGTCTCGTTAAAGGGTATTCTTGATACCGCGGTACTGTACACCATTAATTCAATACGAAGTGGTATTTCCCCACAAAACAGTATTTCTGTCACTGCTTTATTTTACAGTTTTACAAATAAAGCTTATACATATTATCTGGTATGATGTTCTTCAAAACCAATCGCATAAGAGTAGTTATCCAGTTTTGAAACGATTCTCAGTCTGGTATAATATAACAAAATATATCGAATAACTTCGACGGTGTGACAACTTCGTATTGTTTTTATACTCAATATTACAAGCTAACCTCTGCTGTATGCTGATTTGACTTAATGCTTCGGTGATGTATTTTTCCTCAGTTATTTTTTTTTCACAAATTTTCCCTAAACAGGATTTCAAAATATCGACTTCGACCACGTGATGATTTTGCTGTAATGCAGTATTTTGATGAACATTGTATAATCATAATCTTCACCTGAAATTAAAGATAAGAAGTTTTACAACACAACTTCAATAATTATCTTCCAATATTAATCAAACAGCGTTAGTTAAGTTACCGATGGACGTTTAGGTTAAAACGTCCATCGGTAACATAGCCAACACTATTTGAACAAAATGAGTGTATAACTTGAGTATCCCGCAGTAACCTCAGGTTACCCTCATTGTGTTCAAATAGCGTAGGTTAGGTTACCGCGGGATACTCAAGTTATACACTCATTTTGTTCAAATAGTGTTGGCTATGTTACCGTGGGATAATCTGGTAATTCGTCTCATATTGCTTAAATAGCTAAACTTAGGTTAGGTTATCCACCCATTTTTTTCTACAATAACATTGTTTACGTTAATGGTGCACAATCGTTTTTTACATGGCGCCCCACCTTTCTAAACACGCGTTTTGTTGCCCCCTCCCCACTGGAACTGTAGATATCATTTTCCAATATTTATTGTTTTACTATATTATTAATGGTAGTAATATTTGTGCGGCAGTTTTGAAAACTTACTTTTAAATTTGTACATTCAGATATATAACGGGTCAGAGGCCGCTGACCTTAACCGCCTGTTGAAGGAATGGCCCCAATAAGCATTTAAACCCAGACACATCTCAGTACACATACCAGGAAACAAAACTAACCCAAAATCATTTGTTATAAAAGATATACACACCAGCATTACAAACGAAGCCTTAGAAACTGAACTCGCACAAAAACACACTATTCACGAAAGTCGAACGGATTTTCTCCAACAAAACACAGAGACTCACAAACCTAATCAAAGTACACGTACAATAAACACAAGATATACAGAGTGTAATATCTAATGGTATTATTTTCTAGTATCGAAGATGCATAGCAGAACCCACTAAAATACCAGCGGTAGTGGTAACCCAGTGTTACAACTGCCAACGTTATGGACATGTGGCAGCAGCATGTAAAGCTCTCTCTCCCACGCTGCTAGGGTGTGGGAGAGATCACAGAAATAATGAATGCCCAAGAAATAACTCACAGCCATACTGCCAACAGCAACACACGGCAACCTATAAAGGATGCCTGAAATATAAAGATATAAAGCACGAATAATTAATATTCAAAACAACACAAGCACAAAATCATGGAGTAAACAGTACACAAAGAAAAACACCATTGTTAACAACACCAGAACCTCAACAGAATACCAACACAAACAAACAATCTACCACACAAACATTTGCACAGGCAGTAAAAACCCACACCCAAACTGAAGAAACCACAAAACAAAAGAAAGAAGACTAAACCCATTAATGCTAAAACAGAGGAATTAACAAGCAATATAGCAGTGGCAGTCACAAACATATTTTACAAATTCCTGGAAAAATATACTAACCCCCAAAACCAAGAGAATTGCATCACACTAATCATGAAAACAGCGAAAGAACAACTACTATCAATTTTACCACAGATAGCACAATTACTCTTACTACCACAAACATCACAGAACACAAATACCAAGCAAACATAAGGCTACACACATATACAACTTGAAAACATAAAACGGACATGGCTCTGAAAAGCAAAGTGATAATAGAATTCAACAAACTGAACCAGCCAACCAACCAAAACCCAAACCTAATAAGATAGTAAAATATAATAACAGTTCAGAAGAGAGGAAGAGGTCTACCAGAACCTGACCTTCCCAGGTCGTAAAGACCTAAATCCCAATCAGGAGAGAGAGAGAGAGAGAGAGTTATAACTGTGTGTAGCCTTATGTTTGCTTGGTATTTGTGTTCTGTGATGTTTGTGGTAGTAAGAGTAATTATGCTATCTGTGGTAATATTGATAGTAATTGTTCTAGCACTATTTTCATGATTAGTGTAATGCAATCCTCTTGGTTTTGGGGGTTTATATACTTTTCCAGGAATTAATCAGATATGACTCGTATGTTCTTATTATCATATTTGTGCGAACCGCTACCGACTCTCTGCGTACCTTGGGGGGGGGGTAGGGGCAGGTCTGCGCGGTTAAGTTACCGCGATATATTTAGGTTATTCACCCATTTTGTTCAAATATCAGTAATTATGTTGCCACGAAGTATTAAGGTTATCTGGCTATAAATCCTATTTCTCGGCTAAAGCTAACATATTGGTTAATTAGGTTTCTGCGAGATATTAAGGTTATCTGTCTATAAATCCTTTTTCTAGGCTAAAGCTAAACATATTGGTCCTCCGAGTAACAGAATCGCAATTTACTCCTACTTTCTTTCTCTCTCTCTCACATCCAACATGATACAGATTTAGCTCCTGCACAATACAAGCCCCCAGTGGCCCAGCGGTATGTCTGCGGACTTACAACGCTGGAATCCGGGTTTCGATACCCGTGGTGGGCAGAGCACAGATAGCCCATTGTGTAGCTTTGTGCTTAATTACAAACAAACAAACATAATACAAAACATTCTCCTACACCTGAAAAGTCTGGCTTAACCCATTCAAACAAAATATATCTTAAACAATAAAAAAACAATTATACAATGAAATAGATGTAAATGAAAGACCAAAATGTCAAAGTTTAACACCAAAAGCCAATGCATCAATAAAACCAAAAGGCCTAATAATTGTGATAAAATCACACTAGAGGGCAACTGTTTTTTTTTCTTTCTTTCTACATTTCTGTTAGTGAATCCAGTACTTATTACAAATTAGGGACATGCAAAATAGCGTTTTGAATCTAATATTTGTGCGACACGTGTCAAAGCCAAGATTTTTCGACAATATCAGAAATCGTCAGCTGCGTTGAACATAGTGGCAGATAAAAGTATGTTCAAAAATGCTATTTGATACTCAGAATATTTAAGGCCTCTAATTGGACCAATTAAATGGATTGTAAAAAAAACACATCTGCAGTCTAGTATCAATTTTATCACTATTTTTGGGTCTACTAAAAAAATTGAAATACAACAAGTTAACTTTAAAAATGTAAGGTTCGGAATTGATAAAATGGAAGTTAAAATTGCCCTGTAAAATAGTATTATTAATAGGTCAAAATCGAAACACAGACAGCTTCTACTACTAATACATAATTTCAAGAATTCTAATGTTACGTCTTACGTGTTTACTACCTTCTCGTGAACGTTTGTAACACACAACACACACATCAAGTGACTTAACTATTTTGACGTTTTCCAGGTGGCACTAGTATCCTACGACATGAATAACTTATCTTTCAAGGACATCATTAACACCATTCTATCTGATCGTTGGATGTCATGACGGTGACTATATTATCTTGAAACGATCAATATAAAAAACGCAACATTACGATAAACAGCTGTGATACCGCTGCCGTCTGTAGGAAGTGGTAGCGTAACAACCACCATTATGCAGCGTATTAAAATTAAAGCAATATCGTAATTATCAGACTATTCCATCCGCCCATCTATAGATCGTGAGACTTAAGATTAGTAATTGGCATCTTCAAGATACTTTTCCCATGGATTCATGCTCTGTTTCTCACGACAGTACACTGTTTACTAAAGCTAGCATTACCTTATAACTGCAGTATGTTGAAAAGTTACAGCGTGTGTAATGTGATAAGCCATACAGTGATTAACAGGACACATCACGTGAGCTGTTATAAAGTAATAAACAAACTACACTGTTGAAAAAAGTTAATTAAATTGTGGAAGCAATATTTTATAGACTCGTTTAATGTAACTGTCTAAAGATTGAGACTTCGTCAAATCATACCTTGTGACCATTCATAACAAGGCCATATCGTCGAAGTTTCCGATAATCTTCAATAAAAATAAAACTTGTATGAGAGTTTTGTTTTAACGAAACTAGAAGAAGAATGAAGTAAAGTCACATAACTTTAATAATGAATGCAGCTCGAGCACCGCTGCTGTTCAGCTGACGTCAGCACTTCCACAGTGATCACTTAGCGGTACAATAATTTATGACGTTTACTGCTGACACCTACCTCATCAATAAACACCTGCACTATTATTCACGCTGGTGGGTTAACTATAGTGAAAATGCACTGTTTTTGAGGTTGATTAGTTTAGAGAAGGGTCTTTTATAAGACAGATATTAATTGTGTCCTAAGGCATTCCTGATTAACCTTCACAGCAGATGAACGTCTCACAATAAATGCTTCCACTGAGAAAATGTGTTTATTCCAGAATGATCTACCGTGGTCTTTGGTCTTTTTTTCTGGAATAAATATACAGTTCTAATGAAGACGTTTTTACAAGGTAGCCTTAAGTCTGTAATAATCTCTCATGAGGTCTAAAACATTTTTTTTAAAACTTTTATATATATGTTATAATCAATAATGTTGTATACAGATAGCAATTCAGGTGTCGAACTAAGTGCGACTAGCTACATTAAATAAGACGCTGGTCTTGCAAGGTTTAATCTAATCAAAAGCACCTAAGGTGTGAAAAAAAGGTGCGGCCAAGAAAGGATTCAGCGTGCTACTTAAAGATGTGAAATCAAAATTGCCAACCAAACTGGTAGCTACAATTGTAGCATTAATACGAATTTTACAGCCAGGAAGCGTTTTTTTTTTTTTTTTTTGTGCAACTGGAGCATGATGGTGGCCTAGCTAACTAATGAATGAATATTATCAATGCTATACATGTAGCTACCAGTTTGGCCACCAATTTTGGTTTCATTCCTTTAAGTCGCACGCTGAACCTTTTTTAGCCGTGCCTCGTTTTCACACCTAAAGCGTTTTTGATTAGATATCATGATCCTTTACCAATATACACCAACAAACCACACCAAATAAGAAAGTGACACTCGATAGTAATCAAAATCATTCGGGACATACCTATACTTTACAGAACCAAACTGATTCTTTAAAATATATGGTGGTAGTTTTTTCTGTCTAAACAGTGTTAATAGCTTCCTTTATAGTAACACCATGGAATTTAGATTAACAGTTTCTTGTCATCATCCCCATACAATCGGTACAGCCGTATCAATCATCATTATTTATGCTA